TGACTAATTATAGATAAGTTAATACACACCTGTTGTCTCTTTCATTATTTTTCCGATCAAACAGGGGATCCATTTTGGGTGTTTATCTGCTCCGTAATCATTTACATATGCATTTATGTTACCCTTTCACCTATAGATGGAGCCTGGGCCGTTAAGGGTGGTCACGTCAATAGTTATCTCAACATATCATCATTGTTCTAAAACCCGGCCTGGCCCGACTGGTTTAACCGGTTAGATTTGGACCCGGGGTCTTCTCCGAGTCGGGTTACTACTTTCAATAGTTCTCCAAATCCCTAACCTGATCACCGGCGAACGAAAGGCAACCTAGTGGGTTAGAGGGGTTTTGTAGAGTGGAGTTCGTAGATTCAAGGGGTGGTGTTGGATTGAATTTTGGACGTCGGAATCAGCTGGAATGTAGTAAGAAAAATCAACCCAATCACGGCGATATATGCAAGTCATGAGAGACTATCAAGTGCCGAGATTAGAGAGATTTTGTAGAGTGGAGGTCGGTGGTTCAAGTGGTGGTATAGGATTGAATTTCGGCCGTCAAAATCAGCTAGAATTTGGTTGGGAAAAGCAAAACTCTAACTGTCCAAGGGTGTGTTTGCTGGATTTCAAAGTTGTAGGGACTGATCGATTTATCAGGGGTGTATTTGTTAGATTTTATACTTGTTGGATCACCGCTTAGTCCGCTGGTTTAACTGGTTTAACCAGTCAACCCGGGACTCGGGACCCAGACCCTTGGTCGGGTGACACCCCGAGTCAGGTTTCTAAACACTGATATATCCATTAAAAATTGCAATATCAATGTTTTATCAAATCCAACGAGCCTTGTGCAAATTATATATTTTTTTTTGTTTAGTGTTGCACAAAAACAAAATGATTTTATTTATTTTCATTTGCTTTCTAAAATAACCAATTTTTGATGTTCTTTTCTACATGATGTTAGTAAATTCAAATACTATCAATTGTTTTGTTTCCCAATATTTCTTACTAAAAAACTGAGAAAATAAATATTAAATATTGCCATGACCTAAGGTAAGCATCCATTATTGATATATCAATAATTAAAAGCATATTTTGGTCAAATATTTTTAATTTGATCCAAATATAATAGTAAGATCACAATGAATGCTATGAATTTCATAAAACATTGAAATATTTATTCATAGGTTATATATTATGGTTTAACTTGGAAATACTTCTTTTTTGTGTTAGCTCTATAAAGTATTTATTGGCTTTAAAACATAACCACCCCTCAGGTTTAGTGTAAGCGAACTAGACCCACAGGTTTAAACAAATAACATTACAAATCCAAACATTATAATATAATGATATTTTCATCCAAAATAACCACCGGTAGTCTAATCGTTATCTAATACACAAAATTTGACAAAAAGATATAAAAATCCTTTTGTCTTATCTAATTATAAATAAAATATAAAAAATTAATTAAATACAATAAATATAAAAAATCCGAAAAATGTTTGTCATAAAATATTTCTTATAATGTCAATTAAAACAACACCCATTTGTATTGAACATCTTTATTAAATTGAAATTATATTTTAACTTGGAGTAACTTACAGTCAAGATTATGTAAATATCAAAACCAACTTAATTGTTGGTTTTGGAGAATTTAACATTATAATATCTTTCTGCAGAGGAAGCGAAAGACATTACTTATGAGTAAACAACTTTTTCCCCACCCAAGGTTTGCCTTATCAACACTTTCTCACCCAAGTTTCAAAATATCACTTTCCCACTTAAAGTTTATATTTTGTTAATACCCAAGATACACTTTACTTTCTCAACCGGCGTTCGATAAGTTACTAAGAGCCAAGGTGAGAGGGGTTTGGTAGAGTGGAGGCCGATGGATTGAATGGTGGTGATTTGTTGAATATTCGCTGCCCGTATCAGCCAAAAATCAGCTAAGAACAGAAAATCTTAGTTTTGCAGTGACTGACAATCGGCAAGAAATTAAGTATTTGAGTGAGAGAGATTTTGTAGAGAGAAGGCTTAACTTTCAAATGATGGTGACAGCGACAATAGGCTAAAATCAGCTTTGAGTAGCAACAAAATATTAACGTTGAGTGAAAAAATGGTATTTTAAAATTTTTTGGGTAGGAAAGTGTCATTAAGGCAAACCTTGGGTGGGAAAAAGTCGTTTACTCATTACTTATATATATTGGGTTGATTGAATGCATCTTAAATTATCATACGAAATATCTTCATCACCTGTGAATCTTGAATATGAAAATCTAGTGTTAATAAAATGAAAACCCACAAACATTTGTCCTTTCCACCACAACAATAATTGAAATGTGACAACTTTCACATATATATCAATAATTGTAGTATCTATCAATCTCTCATTTGTATTATAGCCAACAAACATTTGTATTATAGCCAACAAACATGTTGTTCTATATTGGCCAATAGGATACAACCCCAAATTCAATGTGATATATTTGAGAAAAGATGGAGTGGCGCCTATTCATCGTCTTCACAAAAGCTTACGACAAAAATAAATGGAGTCCTTTTTGTTGTTTTTCCGTTTGGTTTATCAAATGTTCGAATGGACTGTTTTTGAGAACGACTCTAGAATTGATATAATATAATATGCATTGACAAATTGGTGTTTTGGTGTTATCCTCACATCACAAGTACTCTCTTTATAGTGGCATATATTATGCATTGAAAACTATATTATTATATATAACTAATTAAGTACTGAAATTCATAAGAGATTTCCAATCTTGGCTGCCACTACAGTACGGGAAATTCCCAGCATTTAATATTGTCCATGCGAGCTCTACACAGGAGCTCAATTTTGTACTATAATAAAGATTATACAAATAATCAAGGCTGAACAAAACATTTTCCCACCTGAAGTTTGCCCTAAAGAGAGTTTCGTACTTAAAAAATTTGAAAACTACGATTACCCACCATATAATGTATGAGGCTTAAAATATAAGTAGTTATGAGTTTATTAATAGATGGATGATGTGAATGAAAAGAAAGGCGATCACATCATGTTTAAAGGGAACTACTTTTAGGCTTGAGCAAATGAATGAAACGTTTATCCAAGAGTACAAATATGAGCCACATTCACCCGTTTTCTCCTTTATGGTACATTCATATCCTGTAGCCCTTTGAAAGCAAAACCAGAGCCACCAGATTTACTTTTCATTTTCATTTTCATGTTCTGTGGTCATTTCTCTGGCCACCCTTTCGGACTTGGTGAGTTGGTGAGATCAAACAGACAGATGTGATATTGTACCCTGTACATGGATTGTAACACCAGTAAGACATGGCCAGAAATGTAAAAAAGAAACCAAATAAAATCTCGTGTCTTCAACGTTTCTAAATATTCGAAAACCCTATATATAAAATTTCACTGAATCTGACCCATGATTACACAGACCGTACCAGCTAAAATACACCCTTTTCAACACAAGAAAAATGCAAATCTCTCATAAGTCAGTATGGAACTTGATTTAGATTTTCTTTGGCTGATTTTGTGTAAAAAGGGGAGAAGTATTATGTGGTTTTTTTGTTCCCTTATTTATTGAAAGTGAATAAAGGAGGTAAATCTTTCTATTCGATTTAATTGGAGTAGCTGACAGAAAAGGCATTTAGAGACCGGATTATAGTTACTTTTACTGATAGCTGACATTAAAATTAGGCATTAAATTTAGAGACTAGATTACTTTTGCTGAGCATTGAAAAACCTGACTAATGCAGATTTTGTAAATGGCTACAGAGCTCAGGCGAAGAGATAAAAAGAAGTTAGGGTTTCTTCATTTTTTGAAGGGATTATATATATAGGTACATAGTTCAATTAGATTATTTCTTCATACGATATAGTTAAATACCAAATACGTATATGTTAACACCTCATCACTCCGTAGTCCGTACTATCTTTAGTTCGGCAGGGGGAGAGAGACAGATTGGGCTCTTCATTTTGGGGTTTGGGAAGAGAAAAAAGATAAGTAAAAGAAAGGTCCTAAACGACAAAATGTCCCAATACCCAACTGGTAGGCGACCCTGCAAGAGAGTGAACGGACACAAACACAAAGAGCTCTTCTTCTTTTGGGTGCCAAAGCTTTACAAAATAATGAATCTCGACTCAATGCACAAGTACTAACCCCAGAAAACGCTTTTAAGTACTCGATGTACCACAAACAGCGCCATTCATGTGTGTTGTTGGTTTAAAGAGGTAAGTCTATCAAGAATCCTCCTTCATATTAGCCCTCCTTAAAGGGAAAGTTTTTCCAAATTGAATCAATTAGAGAGATGGGAATAATGTTATTCGTTTTTGGTTGGTTTAAATGGCCGCTGTCCTACTACCCTTTGAAGACAAGAAAGAAGAAGAAACCGTACAACTTTCTTGACTCAGATTGAGCATGCTCATCATGCTATCATGCTATGGAAGAAGCTATCTTTATACACAGAAATTTTGTCTTTTTTTGGAAATTACCTGCAGGTTGTAACGCCTGTTCAATATCAGTTGAAAGCTCAGAAACCTAGTTTTATATAGCCCACTCAAAATTAATGGTAGCCTTAAACCCTAGCTCTAGCTAGACACTTGATTTCTTGTCTAAATTGAGGGGTATATTGAAAAGGTTGCCCATCAGTCCCTACCATTGTTGTGCTCCCGCATTTAATGGCACAAAGCTATGTCTTTTACCACACAAATTTAATCATTTCTATATGGATTCATCCCACTTCTTTCCTTTCAGCTCTCTCCATCTCAATTTTGCCCTAAAAATGCTGTGAAAAGATACAAAACTATTTTGTCCCCAACAAATGCCATGTAGCTACTGGCTTTTATCTAATCAAATTCTTTCTAATCTATTCCTTCTCTCTCTCTCTAGAACTGTTGGTTCATACAAGGCTGCCCTGAATCTTAGTATTAATACCTCATTTCGCCAATGGAGTTTTCTTCATCAGTTTAGAGAAGCTAGGGCTTGTACTGTCAGTTTTTCTGGGTAAAAATGTTCTCTTCCACCACCAGCATCAACCATTTTACAAACTTTTCTTCCTCTTACCACCATTTTCCTTCTCTATTTTCTGGCCACGACACCAACAACGTTTTGCTTAACTACCAGCACGATCCACTCACTGGTGTACTGTTCCCCGCAAATCCTCGGACGACTGAATCTTTCACTGACATGCCCTTTTCAGCCAATGCTACTATGGGAAGACAAGATATCGACTGCCTCAACTCAGAATGTTATGATCCTTCAAATTTTATGGGAACCTGCAAGAGGCCGGCTGCAAGGAAAGATCGGCACAGCAAGATTTACACCGCTCAAGGTTACAGAGATCGGAGAGTGAGACTCTCCATTGACATTGCTCGCGAGTTCTTTGATCTTCAAGACACGCTAGGGTTTGACAAAGCGAGCAAAACGCTAGAGTGGCTGCTAATGAAATCAAGAAATGCCATCCACGAACAAAAAATAAAGAAGAAAAACAACAATGAAGAAATAGAGAGGACTGGTTCCAAAAGTAAGACACCTGTGGGAGTTTCTGAAGAGAAAGAGACTGAAAAGGTGCCTCAGAAAGATGCATTTATTCTTCCAAAGGAAATCAGGGACAAGAATAGGGCGAGGGCGAGGCAAAGGACTAAAGAAAAGATGTGCACTAGAAAGATCCATGAGTGTCAAAAAGGTTCCAACACAAGCTCCCAAATCTTGACCCAATTGAAGTCCTTCACCCAATTCAAAGCTTCAGAGTCAAACATGGCGTCCTCCTCCAAGGATGCTGCGCATGAAGCTGAAGAACCTACTCTCCATGTACCGGTTTTCGAGGACTCCGTTGCATTGAAAAGGAAGCTGAATTTATCTTCAATTTTTGCTTCTCAGCAAAATCTTGGAATGTCAAAAGATGCAAGCTGCAGTGCAACCAACTATAATCACAATTTAACTCAAAATTTGGACATCAATAGTGCAATCCCTCACTCTACCTTTCGTGCTATTACCAACATGAATCTGTCTGCAGGTATATATGTTGAGAGAATGAGTGCATATAAATTTTTCTCAAATTTCCGGATAATATAATATCCCTTAGATATATATTCATTTTCTATCTCAATTTCAGGACTTCAAATTTATGGCAAAATCTGGGAGGCACGCAACAGAGAGAGTCAATACTGATCGGTGCATGAACTTTTAAAGGTGTCCTGTTAGTTTGTTTAAGTTTGTTGTACGAAAGTCAGGGTATCCTGGATGCTAGCTGAAGTTTATCTTTTCAATTCTCTGAATTTGTGTTGTGTTGGAACTAGAATCAAGTACTTTCTCTATGTTTTATAATATTCATTTTTGTTTCGTTAATTTTTCTTTGATTAATTGTTGGGATGATTGTTGATGGCAAGCAAATAGTAACTCAAAGTTACAACATTAGACTAAAATCAAGTACACACTACTGCTTTTAATGAACATTTCATATTATATGTTTAATGCCGACACTTATGAGATTATTCACAAAGAAGATTTACTGACAACAAAAGGCTAATTCTCATGTTTAAATTCAGAGGAAACTCAAGAATTTTCAAGCAGCTGTATATCACCTCAACATATTGTTTGTAGAAAAAATGTGTGAAAAGGAAGAAATTTGGCACTTCAACTGATGAGGACACTTAAAAATTTCCAAAAACCCATGTATATGTGTTAAAAAATTCACGAATATGATGTTAAGCATGAGACCTATCGCTAGAGCATTGAGTAAATCTACTGTATTTGACAATTTAACCTCAGATCAAGTGCTGTATAAGAGGCTCTGAGGAATTTAGTTGAACTGATCCATAGAGCCTCATTCTTTAATACTATCAATGGATTCCATGTATGTTTTATTTTTATGTAAACATGATATTAGAGATGTAAGCATGTATATGGAACAGGTAGAATAGATGTGGTTCCAGATTATGTCTTTTTCATGACTATGATTTATTTCTTTCATTTACCTTAAAGCTTTGGATCACTGCAATTTGGGGATATTCATATGCTTGAGCTTGCTCATTGCAGTTTAGCTTATTCATCATCACCAGCAGATTGTTGTTCCTGTACTAGTACAAATCATTCACTAATTATAAGCAATTTGACTATTGGATTCATTAGAAAATGAGATAAATTTAATAAAAAGTTCAAGGAGCTTCACAATAATTCTTCTCTGGAAACCAGAGAGCATATATAGATAATATTTGAATATAACTTGCGCAGACAGACCGCACTCATGCACATTAATTTCTTTCTAATATTGACAAATGTGCAGTCAGTTTAAGAAAAAACAGTATTGGATAGGGATTAGATGCATAAACTTTGAATCCAAAATACAAACTCCATATATTTTGCTATATTCTATTTCACTGGATTTTGGAGGAAAAAGTGAGCACATATCTTTTGAATTTTGAAACTAGCAAGATGTTTTGGTCAAGTCTGAAGTTTACTATAATCTGTAAAACCGTGGTATATGGTCCTTTCAAGTCTTGAAATTGATTTAAAATTTTGACCATAGTTTGTGTTTTAATGTTTGAAAACATTAATTAAACAGATTAAACATGTTTAAGTTGAACTTTATATCCTCTAATGCCTCTACTTCAACATTACAAAAAAGTTAGACGAATAGCCACTCATAACCATGACGGAGCATGATCTATATATATAGAACATATATAGCACTTCACTATGAGATTCTAATTAAACTGAATATATGTTATTACGTCTTAATTTCTATAGAACTGTTGGCCCTCGAAGACCAACATTATTTTTTATTTCTTTTGTTTAAGTTTTGTATTCCTTTTGATTGTGCTATTGGTAGTGATTGCTAAGTTTAATTCTTTTGTGTACTTGGTTTGCTAGAGTATAAATAGACTTGACTATTATTTTCTGGGTTTGGCTACTGTTTGTTGATATTTTTTTGGGTTGAGTCTTGAGTGTTGTTGCTGTTATTGTTGTGGTTTGATTGAGTATTGGAAGGTATCTATCAAATGGTATCAGAGCGATTTAGTTGTGGGATGGTTGGTACGAGAATGGAAGTTAGAATAGAAAATGTTGAGAGGGAAGTGTCAAAACTTGGAAGAGATATTGATGTTGTTTGGGATGGTTTGATGGAAATATGAGCTTGGATGAGAAGTAAAGATGAAGAAGAAGTAAGGCGAAGAGGTAGAGGGGAATTGTCGGAAGTTCCAGAGTCATTGGGAACTACTCACAATCAGAATCTGGGAAGTCAAACAGAGGTAGGAAGGAACAATGCTTTGGGGCAGCTAGGCGTGGTGGAGGTAGATCAGAGAAAGTTTGAGGTTGTCTCAGCCCCGTTAAGTGAAGAAGAAGAAGATATTTTGAGGGATTCTTTTGTAAATGGGCTGAAATATGAAATTAAGATTTGGCCTGGAAAACAATAGAAAGTAAATGGGCTGGGGCACACAATTGGACTAGACGAACTTGGGTTAAGGGCCCACTTCTTTTATAATAGGCCAAACGACTTTAGCAAGACCCAATCCACTCTTAATAACCCGAGACCTACAGTTACTTCTTCGATTGTGCAATGGTATTGGCAGGAAGAACCACTTGGTGCCACGAGGCCACCGGATTCCAAAGCCCAAGTACTGCACCGAACCGACAAGCCGATTACAACTTCTACCCATGACGAACAGCTACTTTCCGACGAATGACAGAAATTGATGTACTTAGAGGGGGAAATTTACAGGAACTATTTGCTTCTAAGGTTGTAATCGATGTCATAGTGTGCTGGAGATGTGGATACAATGTACTTTATGATGGTTTGTTCATATCAGGTGAATCCTTGAAGTTGGGTGATGGCTTAGCAACCATTGATGAACATAACCGTTTCCTCTTCTACGGTGCACAGGTGATTAAAGGGCATGGTCGCATGCTCACAAGGTTTATGGTTATGAACATAACATGGGATGAGATGATAAGCCAGGTTACTAACACTCCCAACCAGACCCCATTACTAGCTCAACTCGACAAGATGAGCATTGGCACATAGATTATTGGGCTTTCAATCTCAATTCTTATTCCATTACTGGTTTTCCTACATTTTGAGCTCAGAAAGCAAAAGCATCATCCTAGGATGCCGAACATCAAAGAGAAACCAACTTCGAGCAAGGACTAAATGGAGGCTATCAAGAGGATTATCTTCAAACCAAGTGGTAAGGAAGTTTGGATTGGCGAAGGACTCATCAATGAAGATTCCATGATAGATGAGCATGTTATTGATGCTCTGTGCAAAAGAATCAGCATATCCTTTATGATGCCACAGGGTCCCAGTAACTCAACTTAATATTGGCTCCTTTCCAAGGCTACATTGAAGTTGGGAGCAAAAAAAGAGACTAATAAGCAAAGTTACACCATTGTTGATGTCAGAAATCTTAGCTTCACGGAAGAGGAAAGCAGAATATTGATGAGGGAGAATGGAGATAAGGAAAACCATATGTGGTTGCATTACAGAGGACCTACAAAAGTGATATTACCCATGTATTCTTGCAACTTTGATAGTAAAGGGACAATGAATAACATGGATGAACAAAAAAAGTCAGATTTTGAGCGAGTTGTTAAGTGTATGCCATCTAAACAACTCAAAATTATGGCAATTGCTTATAATGCTTCATCATTTGAAGATAACAACTTAACACTGATTAGGCTACTTGGTCTAAAGCATATATGCTGGACAGAGACAAGAAAAGCAATAGAGGCTTGCAGAAAAATAGGTATTGGTGTCAAACTCATTTCAGAAGATAAAGTGGTGGATATGGAAGGCATAGGTCTTGATTTTGGATTGTTTTCTGACTCAGATATATTGGTACTTGAAGCTAAAGACTTTCGAAAGTTCACCGAAGAAAGAGGCTGGAATTGGTAGATAAAATTTATGTGATTGGGAACTTCCCCCTTTCTAACTAGGGTATTCTCATTCAGTGTTTGAAGCAGAAAGGCCACATGGTAGCAACGGTTGGAGTCAAAACAAATGAGACTCTAGCACTTAAAGAATCTAATGTGGGGATTGTTATAGGCACTTGGAGTAGTGAATTGGCTAGAGAGAGTTCGAAAATTATCATTTGGGATAGCGATTTCAGATCCTTGGTCACCATTTTTAGCTGTGGAAGATGTGCTTACGATAATATCCAAAATTATATCCAACTTGAGATCACCATTGTTATTTCAAAGTTATTGATAACCACTATCATACAGTTGCATTTGGGGGTACCTCAATTATAGCAATTCCCATTCCTCCACCTTGAGGACAAGGTGGTACTGCTTGGAGAGGGTATTGATGAGACCCCTAATATGCTGGTTTATGGTAGGAGACATAAAGGTGCGAAGTATAGGATTTTGGGTAGTTGGCAAGAAGGTTCTTTGTGCATAAGGTTTGTTTAGGAGGGACGGATGACATTAGGGGAATGGGTGATTGAGATGTCAGCAGAAGAAAAGGAGAGGCAGAGAGATTTGAGAGGATATTCATAAAAGAGAAAAGTATAGTGGGAGGTTGCTGGCCCTTGAAGTCAAGCACTATCTGGGAGGAGTTGGCCCCTAAAGACCAACATTATTTTTTATTTCTTTTGTTTAAGTTTTGTATTCCTTTTTATTGTGCTATTGGTAATGATTGCTAAGTTTAATTCTTCTGTGTACTTGGTTTGCTATAATATAAATAGACTTGACTATTATTTTCTGGGTTGAGTCTTGAGTGTTGATGATGTTATTGTTGTGGTTTGATTGAGTATTGGAAGGTATCTATCAAATGGTATCAGATATCTATCATAATGATACTTTACTTATTATAGATTCATCTATGTTATTAGACAGCATAAAAGATTCTTTACATATTCAATTAAAAGTAGTACTTCCCTTGGTATGACCTTCTGTCTCCTTCTTAGTTACTACTTTAGTTAAAAATGTGCATCCTAGGGTTTCTAGATCAAAACATTCTTTGTCTCAATCTGGAGTACATACACTTCTGTCTACTCATGTAATTTTACAGGAACCCAAATCTATTAGAGAAGCTTTGAAAATACCTGAATGCAAGGCTGTTATGGCAATAGAACATCAAGCTTTAATGAATAATAACACTTGGGAATTAATACCTTATGAAGATGGTATGAATGTAGTTGGTAGTAAATGGATGTTCAAAACAAAGCTAAACTCATATGGCTCTCTTCAAAAGTACAAGGTCTGGTTAGTTGCTAAAGGGTTTCAACAGATCCCAAGATGAGTTTACTTTGATGCCTTCTCACCAGTCATTAAGGTAGTAACCATTAGAATCATGTTATCCCTAGCTGTTCATCATAATTGGGAAATTCAGCAAAAAAATGTTAACATTGCTTTCTTGAATAGAGAGTTATCAGAAAAGGTGTTTATGCAGCCTCCTGAAGGATTCTCAACCAAAACAGGTGTGTAAACTGCATAAGACCTTATATGGTCTTAAACAAGCTCCAAGAAGTTGATTTGATAAATTGAAAAATGCTTTGTTAAATTGAGGTTTTGTCATTTCAACTTCTGATGCCAGTCTGTTCCTTTACAAATAAGGGTCTCAAATGGTTTATCTTTTAGTATATGTAGATGACATCTTGTTAACAGGAAATAGTCCTCAAATTATATCCCAAGTAGTAAAAGATCTCAACAGGCAATTTGCTTTAAAACGTTAGGAGAAGTTCAATACTTTCTTGGTTTTGAGATGACTAGAAACTCTTCAGGATTGTTATTGACTCAAACCAAGTATGCTAAAGATTTACGCCTAAATGCCAATATGACAGATTACAATCCTTGTATAACACCTATGGCTACTGAAGCTAAACTAAGGAGAGAAGATGGTGAAATGTTTGATTAGCCAACTCTATATAGGAGTATCATTGGAGGTCTGCGGTATCTTGCCCTATCTAGACCAGATTTGAGTTTTGTTGTAAATGAGTTAAGCCAAATTCTTCAAGTCCCTACTATAGCTCATTGGACTACATGTAAAAGGGTTTTAAGATATGTTAAAGGAACTCTACAACATGGGATCTTGTTTACAAAAAGGGAACATTTTTCTGTTAAAGCATATGCTGATGCTGATTGGGCAAGTGATGTGAATGATAAGAAGTCAACCAATGGGAATTGTGTTTGCCTTGGAGGAAATTTGTTTCAATGGAATTCAAAGAAACAGAAAGTGGTTTCTTTATCATCTACAAAAGCATAATACAGATCCTTGAGTCAAGCTGCCACTGAACTTGTGTGGATTTAGCATTTGTTTAAAGAACTTGGGATTGAGATGAATAACACCCTTATGATTTGGTATGATAATATGAGTGCTGAGCCTTATCATCCAATCATGTACTCTATGCTAGAACCAAACATATAGAAATCAATATCCATTATGTTAGAGAATTGGTGGCCAAGAAAATCTTAAGTGTCCAATATGTGGCTTTTGAGTATCAAATCGTTGATATTCTCACCAAGGCACTTCCAGGTAATAGGTTTGGCATTTTAAGGGACAAGTTAAATGTTGTCTCTATTCTTCCTAGGTAATTGCATGCTGATTTAGTAAGCTAATCTGGTAATAGGTCATGTTGTATTTTGTAATGTGTGTAAGAAATTAAAGAAGATAACATTCTGTTGGTGTAGTTGTAACAGGAAGAATGTTGATATAGTACTAGAGTGAGTCTAATGAGAGTAATTTTTTTTTTTTTTTTTTTTTGGGTGAATATAATTGCAAACTTATTTGATATGTTGAGGTGTTGTGTATTATAGAGTCGTGCAAATTTTATTAACAACTGTAAGAGTACTATTGGTGTAGCATTGATGTAAGTCTGAAGAGATGATTTGCTTATAGTTGTAGTTATAGTGGGTGTGATGTTGATATAGTTTTGTGTGGTGTGATGTTCGGCAAATTTTATTGGTGGTAGCAGGTGCAGTATTGGTGTAATGTTGATGTAAGTCTAAAGAGGTTATTTGCTTCTGGTTATACTTGCAGTAAGTGTGATACTAATGTAGTGTTGACATAAGTATGAAGAAGTGACATGATAGTGATTGTAGTTACAACAGGTGCAGTATCTGAAGAAATGTTTAGTTTAAAGGGGAATATTGGACAAAGCAGGAATTGTTGATCTGAAAAGATGTTTAGTTTAAG